GGAAGGAAGGAAGGAAGGAAGGAAGGAAGGAAGGAAGGAAGGAAGGACTGACTATACATTTTAAAATGCTTGACTTTTTAACTGAATAAATTTTCTCCTCCTTTATAAATAGCCCCAGGATCACAAGACTTATTTGAGAGTTAGAAATAAAAGAACATTCAGAAATTAGGGAAAGAAGATATACACACTAGCTATCTAAGGTTTTGTATAAAACTCCATTTCATAATTTTCAAATTGCATAAAGTGTGTTGCCAATGTAATTGTATGCACATCTCCTCAGAGGTAAATCTGAGTAGCATGATATTTTTATCTAGTTAACTATATATATGATTACTGTGGAAATGAGTCAGGAACAAAACCCCAGCTTTTTAGATGATTTGCACAATTCTTTCTGAAATGCAGTATCTGTTTGAGCCCTGAAGAAAAAAGACAATCACACATGAATATGCACATATTAAAGTAGAGTTAAACCCACTTTCACTGTCATGAAGAAATTCCTGAAAAATATATGACATAAATGTATAAAGCTGACCTTAAATAGAATTTACTAGTCTAAGCTGAATAAGTTGGCATTGAGAGTCAAATCATTGCACTGTTAAAAGCTGGGGCAGCTCTTTGCGTATGCATCACTTCCACAGCCAGAACTGAGATTTATGTTGATCTAAGCACATTTAGTTTCCTTTTGGATTGTAATCAGTAATTTGATTGGCATAATCAATAATCAGAGTACTCAGAATACAAGCAACTCCATAAACTCTTAGGATCCCTGGGACACCTTCCCATTGAAATTTCTTGGAACTGAATAAGTAAAATTCCTGGAACACAGAATACTGTCGACGATATTTCAAGCAGAATTTTTCCATACACATTTGCTGTCTTAAGCATTTACTTGTACCATGAAATATATATTTACTTGGAAGCAATTTTAGTCAGATCCTTGGAAGTTATCCAAGTAAGCCTATATAAGATTTTCACCTCACCTCCAAAGTAAGTTAGATTGAATGCACTGAGACCTTTTTCCAGCTTAACATTTTAACCCAATCCCCATATTCCCATAGGAAAATAAGTTCCCCAAATTCATTCCTATGTGTGGTAAAATGGGGTAAAACCAATCCCATATTAGATTGCAGTTTTGCACATACTGTCCTGAGCTGGCTCAGGAATTCTGGGAGTTGAAGTCCACCAGTCATAAAATGGCCGTGGTTCCCTACCCTTGATTTAGTAAAAACCAATTTACACAATAGGACTTACTCCAGAATAACCAGGGCACAGCTGCTTCATAAAGGAGCTGATTGATGGAAATATGTTCAATCAAAGCGAGATTAGAAAACAACACCTCTATTTTCTGCTGGGATTCCCTTTTTTTGATTCTGTTGTTTATTTGTCTGCCTGCAACAGAAGGAACTGCAGGACTTAATAAGTTCCAATCATTTATTTGCTAGTCTTTTCAGGAGGCTGGAGAAAATGCCTTCATAAATGATGCTACCGGCTGAGCCAGGAGCCCAGAGGGAAACCAGGGAAGTTGCAGTGAGCCTTGATTTCTACACCAGGAATAAAGAAATAAGAAAACTAATTAATTTTCCTCATTAAAAAGTGGGGGGAGAGTCAAGGCAAAAAAAAAAAAAATAGGCAGGGGCACATTGGTTTAATCCAAGTTCATTTTTCAAAAGAAAAGATAGGGCGCATTTACCCCTGGGTGTTTGAGAAATTTAGATAATTACCCTTCTTCCGAAGCACTGCTTTATTATTATGGGTCAGTGAACCATTTACACATAGATAATATCTTTACATTTAACCTCCAGCAAAGCTGTGGCTAACATTCACTTTTAGTTTCTTTTTTTTTTAAATGTCTTGTGGTGTTCTGTCCTAGTTGCTCCAGATTCTCCTTTGGAGTATTAACATCTCAACTAGGACTGCAATTCACCCATTTCAAATGTCATATGGCTTCAGAGATTCTCAAAGACAATAAGATAAGATCCCTTATTTCTTTTGGAAGCTGAAAGTCCCTTTTCATAGTCCACCTCAGTGGTGGGATTCAAATTATTATACTACCGGTTCTGTGGGCATGGCTTGGGTGCATGGCAGGGGGAGAATACTGTAAAATCTCCATTCCCATCCCACTCCAGGGGAAGGATACTGTAAAATCTACACACACACACACCCCACTAACCTGCTTTCCAGCTTCGTTCTCCTGTGCAGGACAACAAAAGAAGACCCAGCCAATCAGCTGGGACTCGGGAGGCAGAGAATAGATGGGGGCGGGCCAGTCAGAGGTAGTATTCTGAACTACTCAAAATTTCTGCTACCAGTTCTCCGAACTACCCAAAATTTCTGCTACCGGTTCTCCAAAACTGGTCAGAACCTGCTGAATATCACCTCTGATCCACCTGTATTTTTTTCCTATACTTTCTCCCACTTCCTTTGGCACAAAAAAATGTCACACTGAAATAGACATACTTTTTAGTACTAGATCATTAAAAAGTATGCATTCTCAAATAAATTCTCCTCTTACAATGCAAATGCCAAAATGCGTTTTGATTTTATGTACAGTATGCACTCAATGAGAATGGCCCTGAAAAAGAAAAGAATAAGGAAGCACAAAAGCCACAGGATAATTAATTTCCAGATAATTATTAATTAATTACAATTCTGATTGCCTTGCCGAACTTAGAAATCCAGGCAATATCTCCAAGATGTCAAGGTTTAGCAAAACTGGTTGGTACCATTTTCTCCCATTTTTAAAGCTTCGTTATAGCTTCAGTACTTTCTGTAGGTTTCTATCACACTTTCAGGGTGACAAGGGCAGGAGAAAAGCAAGAGAGATTTCTCAAAACTAAGGTGGTTTTTTTTCAATCTAAAAAAAAAAATCCAAAAGCAATACTTCTTTTCCTACACGGTGTCTCCTTTTCTTCTGGACTGTAATGGTCAGGCTTCAGGGTTACTAGGTTTAACTCAATTTAAAATGGCCAGGCCTGGGGATACTCATTAAATTTGATCAGAGAAATAACATTGTTAAAGATTTCTGAAACCTGAAACCACTGTGTGAAAAATACTGGAAAAACAGAGCCTATTTTAAGCAATAAAAAAGAAGGGTAAGAGGAATTGATCCTATCTTTAGCTTTGTCTATAATCATTACTGAAAAACTCCACTGTACTCTTTATACGTATATACCTGGTGCCTAATCTGTCTGACATAACATGCAGAGAGAACAGACAGAGAATGGGTCTAAATGAACATCTTAGCCTCCCATTTCTTTGATACATAAATTGTAAAGTGTAATTTAGGACCTTCACAGAGCAGATGTATTTTATATCTCAGACAGTGAAGCAATGTAGCATCAGTACAGGAATTGCAATTAAAACCCTGAAGCCTTTTTCCTTAAATATAATTTGATACTGACATACATCATAAGCACTGTAACATAACTGTGCAAATTCATAGCTATCTATTTATCTAGGTAGGTAGGTAGGTAGGTAGGTAGGTAGGTAGGTAGATAGATAGATAGATAGATAGATAGATAGATAGATAGATAGATAGATAGATAGATAGAT